TTGGGGAAAGAACTAATGATGAACGGAATTCAAGAAGACAAACGATGGTGATTCACTAGTACGCAGGGGATTACAGGGAGTAAGATTGAAAGAGAAGACTGAGATTAGGGAGGATTGGGGTAAGGACAATAGATGAACGGGATTCAAGAAGACAAACGATGGTGATTCACTAGTACGCAGGGGATTACAGGGAGTAAGATTGAAAGAAAAGACTGAGAATCGGGAGGATTGGGGAAAGGACAATAGATGAACGGGATTCAAGAAGACAAACGATGGTGATTCACTAGTACGCAGGGAATTACAGGGAGTAAAATTGAAAGAGAAGACTGAGAATAGGGAGGATTGGGGAAAGAACAATAGATGAACGGGATTCAAGAAGACAAACGATGGTGATTCACTAGTACGCAGGAGATTACAGGAAGTGAAAGTGAAAGAGAAGTCCGAGAAGAAGGAGGATTGGGAAAAGATAAATGATGAACGGGATTCAAGAAGACAGACGATTGTGATTCACTAGTACGCAGGGGATTACAGGAAGTGAAAGTGAAAGAGAAGACTGAGAATAGGGAGGATTGGGGAAAGGATAAATGATGAACGGGATTCAAGAAGGCAGACGATGGTGATTCACTAGTACGCAGGGGATTACAGGGAGTAAAATTGAAAAGAAGACTGGGAATAGGGAGGATTGGGGAAAGGACAATAGATGAACAGGATTCAAGAAGACAAACGATGATGATTCACTAGAACGCAGGGGATTACAGGGAGTAAAATTGAAAGAGAAGACTGAGAATAGGGAGGATTGGGGAAAGGACAATAGATGAACGGAATTCAAGAAGAGAAACGATGGTGATTCACTAGTACGCAGGGGATTACAGGGAGTAAAATTGAAAGAGAAGACTGAGAATAGGGAGGATTGGGGAAAGGACAATAGATGAACAGGATTCAAGAATACAAACGATGGTGATTCACTAGTACGCAGGGGATTACAGGGAGTAAAATTGAAAGAGAAAACTGAGAATATGGAGGATTGGTGAGAGGACAATAGATGAACAGGATTCAAGAATACAAACGATGGTGATTCACTAGTACGCAGGGGATTACAGGGAGTAAAATTGAAAGAGAAGACTGAGAATAGGGAGGATTGGAGAAAGGACAATAGATGAACGGTATTCAAGAAGACAAACGATTGTGATTCAGTAGTACGCAGGGGATTACAGGGAGTGAAAGTGAAAGTGAAGACTGAGAATAGGGAGGATTGGGGAAAGGACAATAGATGAACGGAATTCAAGAAGACAAACGATGGTGATTCACTAGTACGCAGGGGATTACAGGGAGTAAAATTGAAAGAGAAGACTGAGAATAGGGAGGATTGGTGAAAGGACAATAGATGAACAGGATTCAAGAAGACAAACGATGGTGATTCACTAGTACGTAGGGGATTACAGGGAGTAAAATTGAAAGAGAAGACTGAGAATAGGGAGTATTGGGGAAAAGACAATAGATGAACAGAATTCAAGAAGACAAACGATGGTGATTCACTAGTACGTAGGGGATTACAGGGAGTAAAATTGAAAGTGATGACTGAGAATCGGGAGGATTGGGGAAAGGACAATAGATGAACTGGATTCAAGAAGACAAACGATGGTGATTCACTAGTACGCAGGGGATTACAGGGAGTAAAATTGAAAGAGAAAACTGAGAATAGGGATGATTGGGGAAAGGACAATAGATGAACGGAATTCAAGAAGACAAACGATGGTGATTCACTAGTACGCAGGGGATTACAGGGAGTAAAATTGAAAGAGAAGACTGAGAATAGGGAGGATTGGGGAAAGACAATAGATGAACGGGATTCAAGAAGACAAACGATGGTGATTCACTAGTACGCATGGGCTTACAGGGAGTAAAATTGAAAGTGAAGACTGAGAATAGGGAGGATTGGGGAAAGGACAATAGATGAACGGGATTCAAGAAGACTAACGATGGTGATTCACTAGTACGCAGGGGATTACAGGGAGTAAAATTGAAGGAGAAAACTGAGAATAGGGAGGATTGGTGAAAGCACAAATGATGAACGGGATTCAAGAAGACAGACGATGGTGATTCACCAGTACGCAGGGGATTACAGGGAGTAAAATTGAAAGAGAAGACTGAGAATAGGGAGGATTGGGGAAAGACAATAGATGAACGGGATTCAAGAAGACAAACGATGGTGATTCACTAGTACGCAGGGGATTACAGGGAGTAAAATTGAAAGTGAAGCCTGAGAATAGGTAGGATTGGGGAAAGGACAATAGATGTACGTGATTCAAGAAGACAGACGATGGTAATTTACTAGTACGCAGGGGGTTATATGGAATAAAAGTGAAAGAGAAGACTGTGAACAGGCAGGATTGAGGAAAGGACAAATGATGAACGGGATTCAAGAAGACTGAAGATGGCGATTCACTCGTACGCAGGGGATTTCTGGTAGTGAAAATGAAAGAGAAGTCAGAGAATAGGGAGGATTGAGGAAAGGATAAATGATGAACGGGATTCAAGAAGACAGACGATGGTGATTCACTATTACGCAGGGGATTACAGGAAGTGAAAGTGAAAGAGAAGACTGAGAATAGGGAGGATTGGGGAAAGGACAAATGATGAACGGGATTCAAGAAGACAGATGGCGATTCACTAGTACGCAGTGGGTTACAGGGAGTGAAAGTTAAAGTGAAGACTGAGAATAGGGAGGACCTAAATGCTAATCTCGTAGCACGTTTATATTCATGTATCGATGCACCAGCGAAGAACATCTCGTCAGTGCAGTTACCATGAAAATATTTGTAGAAACGACAGAGGGTATCCACGTCACGTCGATGAGATAATGTCTGAAGACGATATGCCAGTTCAGTATCTATTATTTTGCAGATCCTTCTTTGAATCTTTTCAAGAACTTCGAGATAAATAGTAGAAACACCAGACCTGATTTGACAGCAGTATTCAATGCATGACTATTGGCAAATTTAGAAATTTATTGTCGAGAATTTCTTCATGTCAGTATACTTTCGTCGCGATAGACATAGCTACTCATGCGATGAAGTTGCTCACCTTCAAGTTAGTCGAAAAATTGTGGCCCAGAAGGAGCAGGGGTGTTGCGCCCCAGGAATCTAGCGTCGTCCATGCTGATAAGTCTACCATTTATCCTACTTTGAATTTTACTGCCACATATCGTCTGGTGCTCCTACGATATATTTAGAGATCCGTGAGAAAATCCAAAGTATCTGCAATATCTTTGGTTCTGCCTTGGTCTCTCGGCTTCAGTTTCTTCCCACCGCCGTAACATTTCTTCCCTCTGCCTTTTCTAGAAAAAAAAACTTCCACTGCCTTGACCGAGTATTGAACTCACACTATTTGGATCCTACCACTGGATCTAACCAACGCCTTTATTCACTGTGGAGAACTTTCGAGGGAAAATTAACAGGAGATAACTTATAACTGACATCTATTAGACATGGCACGTGGAACTAGAACAGTCTACCCCAGTGAGCGAAATAAAGTGTTCAGTCCGACATTCCAACGACCTGAAGAAGGCCGGAACGTACAACTGTCGAAACGTTGTAATAAATATGGCGACAAAGATGAGGACAATAGTTCGAACAATGTAAATAATGTATATAATACCGCGTCTCAGAAATATATACAGATAAAAATTAATAATAGTCTAAAAAATAAATATAATTTTAACAACTGTTATAATTATTATTAATTTATTCATTTTTAACCAGTGAGAATCGACCCCACTTTTCTCTTCTACTCACACAAACACGTGACATACTCACTATCGGACAAGCAGTCAATACGGACAAATCGTCAACACATGAGTCAACGAAAATTTAGGCTCATTATTTTCGGGCTATAATGGTAACATTTATCTCTTAATACTCAATAAATTTCGAGGTAAGAAAACTCAAGACATTTCTTGCATTTTGCAACTAAATTATCTGGACACTCATCTTTGTTGCCATATTTATCACAACGTTTCGGCCGTTTTACGCTCCAGCCTTCCTCTGGTGGTTGGAATGTCGAACTGAACCCTTTATTTCGCTCGCTGGGGTAGACTGTTCTAGTTCCACGTTCCATGTTTAATGGATGTCAGTTATCTCAAGTTAATTCCCCTCTCCAAGTACTCCACCGCCTTAACCAGGTATTGAACTGACACTCTTTGGTTCCTGTCTTTGAGGACATCTGTGTATGAATTTCTGGTTATTATAAACCTAATGTCGTCAGCAATCATTTTTTACCAGTGGTCATATTTCAATTTTTACTGTTATCATTTCATTTTTTTACCAGAGCTCATATTGCAATTTTCGTTGTTGTTTTTGCTTTTCTCTGGCGCTACTTATTACTGGCTCACATATTGTATTCATTTCTTTGCTTGGTCGGCTCACGAGATTTTTGTGGCCTAGCATATGTGCTGATTCCTTAAGTTTACGAATTTTCCGATGATGTTCTTTGTCTATGATATTCACCTGATACCACAGAGGGTGGTGATCTCCTTTTACTCTCCATATGTGATCAGCTACGCCTGATTTTTCCACTTCCCCTCGTGTTACAGCTTTCTGGTATTCTTGAAGCCTTACCTTAAGGGGGCGGTCTGTCTTCCCTTTATATTTCTTTCCGCAGATGGCGTGCACACAGTTTTTAGTCATGTTCTTCTCTATGGGGAGTCTTACTCGGGAGATATATCTGCGAAGTGTTTGAAGGCTGGATAGGATGGGGGCATCCTATCCAACCAGATGGTGAGCTTGGACGTGGTGAGATTGTTCACCAAGGTACCCACGGAGGAGGCACTCTCAGTCTATACTGGTTGACCTATCAACCTTACCCTATCAGTCTTCTCAGTTAGTGACAAGCGTTTGAATTCAGAGTTGTCTTTAGAGTGTGGTTGACCTATCAAGTCTAAAAAGATTATTTTGCTCTATTATTGACAAGGGTTTGAATTCAGATTTGCCCGTCCTTTAGACAGTGACAGAAAGAGTTACAAAATGTGCGTGGTTAACAGAAAGACATTGAGAAAGAAAGAGAAACGAGTGAGAAAGAATGGCGAGAGAGAGAGAGAGAGAGAGAGAGAGAGAGAGAGAGAGGCCGAGTCTCAAAAACCTTTAAAAATACGGAGAATAGAAATGATCAGTCTAAAAAAGAAGGTCGTGTAAATCATTAATTGTAATGACCAAAAAAGAAAGAAATTGAAAACAAAAACACCCCCCCCCTCCAAAAAAAAAAAATGTAGAGGCATTAGGTGTTGGGGAGAGGTTTACAAACCCCGGGAGAAATAACGCATCCTCCCCTCCTCCTAGATATGAGTTAGCTTCTAATTATGGTCCTATTTGTCCGTTGTAATAAGGTGTATCTTTTGTATGTTTTTCAATTTCATATTATTGCAATATTTGTAGTAAAACCTTTTGTTTTGAATTGGTCACTGGGGAGGGCAACAATGAGGCTGATTCATGAATTTAATAATTATGAATAGATAAAAGGCCATTCGATATGGGCAACAGCCTTGTCCGAAGGTAATCTTTCTTTCTTTCTTTCTTTCTTTCTTTCTTTCTTTCTTAAGCTTTTATTTCTTCGTTCTTTCTTAAGCCTTTCTTTCTTTTTTCTTTCTTTTTTCTTTCTTTCTTTCTTTTTTCGTTCTTTCTTAAGCCTTTCTTTCTTTCTTTTTTCTTTCTTTCTTTCTTAAGCCTTTCTTTCTTTTTTCTTTCTTTTTTCTTTCTTTCTTTTTTCTTTCTTTCTTTCTTTCTTAAGTCTTTCTTTTGTTTTTCTTTCTTTTTTAATAGTATGAACTCTTCTATACATTTCCCTATTTATCTTTTCAGTTTTCTTTTTTTCTTTCTTTCTTTCTTTCTTTCTTTCTTTCTTTCTTTCTTTCTTTCTTTCTTTCTTTCTTATGATTTTCTCTATACCACTTTCCATGCCTGCTTTGTATTTTCTTTCTTTCTTTCTCGTGTATTTCTCTATTCCTCTTTCCCTTCCTTCTTTCTTTTTCATTTTTCTTTCTTTCTTTCTTTCTTTCTTTCTTTACTTCTTCCTTTTATACGTCCATGACTTTCACTTTCTTTCTTTTTCAGTTGATGTGCTTGTTTCTTGATGACGTTTCATGAAGTTTTCTTCTCTTTATTCTTTCCGTCTTTCTTTCTTTCTTTCTTTTTCAGTTGATGTGCTTGTTTCTTGATGACGTTTCATGAAGTTTTCTTTTCTTTATTCTTTCCGTCTTTCTTTCTTTTCTTTCTTTCTTTCTTTCCTACTTTCTTTCTTTCTTTCTTTATTTCTTTCTTTCTTTCTTTCTTTCCTTCTTTCTTTTTCAGTTGATGTGCTTGTTTCTTGATGACGTTTCATGAAGTTTTCTTTTCTTTATCCTTTCCTTCTTTCTATCTTCCTTTCTTTCTTTCTTTCTTTCTTTCTTTCTTTCTTTCTTTCTTTCCTTCTTTCTTTTTCAGTTGATGTGCTTGTTTCTTGATGACGTTTCATGAAGTTTCTTTTCTTTATCCTTTCCTTCTTTCTTTCTTACTTTCTTTCTTTCTTTCTTTCTTTCTTTCTTTCTTTACATCTTTCTTTACTTCTTCACTTCTTCCTTTTATACATCCACGACTTTCACTTTCTTTGTTAACTTTCTTTCTTTCTTTCTTTCTTTCTTTACTTTTTCCTTTTATACATCAATGACTTTCACTTTCTTTCTTTCTTTCTTTTTTCTTTCTTTCTTTCTTTCTTTCTTTCTTCCTTTTATACGTCCATGACTTTCACTTTCTTTCTTTTTCAGTTGATGTGCTTGTTTCTTGATGACGTTTCATGAAGTTTTCTTCTCTTTATTCTTTCCGTCTTTCTTTCTTTCTTTCTTTCTTTCTTTCTTTCTTTCTTTCTACTCTCCTATTGGCCTTCCTCCATTCCTTCTCTATTACTCATTACGAATCTTTCTTTCTTTCTTTCTTTCTTTCTTTCTTTCTTTCTTTCTTTCTTCCTTTTATACGTCCATGACTTTCACTTTCTTTCTTTTTCAGTTGATGTGCTTGTTTCTTGATGACGTTTCATGAAGTTTTCTTCTCTTTATTCTTTCCGTCTTTCTTTCTTTCTTTCTTTCTTTCTTTGGCCTTGACTTTCTTTGGCCTTGACTTTCTTTTACAATTGTTTTATCTGCTATTTTCTTTTCACTTTATGTTCTCTCTCTCTCTCTCTCTCTCTCTTTCTTTCTTTCTTTCTTTCTTTCTTTCTTAAGTTTTGAAGTTTCTTTATTATCGGATTGTGTTAGCTTCTATCTGCATCTCCTTTTCCCGCCACTTTCTTTCTCTTCCATTCTTTTTTTCTTTCACAATTGTTTTAGCTTCCTTTTCTTTCTTTCTTTCTTTCTTTCTTTCATTACACCCTTCTCCCTGCCTATCTCTCTTTCCCCCTTTCCCTCTCCCACCCATCGATACATCTTTTTTGCGAATATGTGATAACCGTAACAAAAACGTGACACATCATTCCACGCCTTTCCAATTTTTCGAATTTCACCCTGGCGCCTACAAGTCCCAAGCGTCAAACGTTGGCATCTAGACGGAACCACTCAGGCCGTCTCGGCTTCTCACTGTTCGCTGTGGGCAAAGATACGCGACTGAATGTACCCCACGGGTTTATAGATTTTTCTTTTTTTTTGTTTGGGGGGGGGGGCTTATATCTTTCTTTTCTTTTTTCCCCCTTTCTTATATTTCGTTCTCTCTTTCTCTAATCGCGCCCTAACAAAAATGCATCACGAACCTCAGTAACAGGAGAAACCTACCAATTTGTCGTTGCAAAAGAGTCTAAGCGAACGGAAATCTATTTTAAAGCGAACACCCATGTATAAGTCGATTGTCGTTCTGAAATCCCACGGGTGAGGTTTGGACAAGGAAGCGTTTGACCATTACCAAATTCCCCCGAAAATTGTCAAACCGTGCAGACTGAAAAGGAAGACTTTGCTAGACGAACCCGTCCAGTCGGGTTGACAACAAGAATTGGACACCAGACCACGCCCAGTCACGATGAGCGGATGTCTCCTCGAGATGCCAACTCCCAAGAGGATGCTTCCCCGATCACCACAATCTTAACCTGTTCAAGTCTCGGGTTAACATTTATTTTCCCCTCCTCTACATATAAACTGCCCCTTATTGTAACCCGCTACCTCGAGTGGGCCCCGGGCCTTGTTCAGGGTGAATCTTACTGTAAAAATAAAAATACGACGATGTTGACATATATAACGTGATGTTTCTCCTTTCCGAACACCTCCGTCTTTTACAGACGCCAGCTAAATCATGTTTGTCTTTTTGCAGCAACTACAGTGCCCAACTGTGGCTTGTGTTGAAACTATGCTGAGTGGGACTTAGTTACAATTTCTTGGAAAGTTCGGAGCGTTATCAATAGTTTTTGAACAAATGCCAGTGCACTCAGAACCTCGGTCACGATGACTTCAAGCAGGGAGTACGGTTTTCGGTCACTTTCCAAACACCGATAACTTAACCTAAAGTGACGTGTCCAACTTTAATCCTGAAAAATCATCTTGATAAATCGACCATGGTAAGCTTCGTACCCGGTCTCTTGTTGGGAAATCAAGGGTTTTAAACAATCGCTCCCGCACGTGACTATAGCAGCTAGATATAGCAGTAACCGATTAGAAGTTATTATTATTATTATTATTATTATTATTATAGCTTTCAGGTACTACTGCTTTAAATAAATTTTAAATGCATTGCATATTGCTGCCACATCTGGTCTGGTGCTTCTGCTAAGATTCTTGATAAAAAAAACACAAGAATCTGCAATGTTACTGGTCCTGGCATGGCATCTCGGCGTCAGTTACTTTCTCATCACTCGTATCATAGCTTTCCTGTGCCTTTATTTTTACAAATATCTTCATGATAAATGTTCTGATGAACTTTCCTTTATGGGGTTTCATTTTTAAAAGTTATTTTTATCCCCCACCCCGCACATACAAACTGTTCATATGGGATCTAGTTAGGACTTTATAGAGACCCTGAGGTATTATGGTGACTGTAGTAAGAATGCTAAGTAAGAATGTGTTGTTTTGGTGTAAGGAATACTCTGGTATGTTTGGGTCCGTAATCGCAGCTAGCTAAGTTTAAGATGAGACAGATCAAAGACCAGCATTCCTCATCTATCCCATTGGCCTTGTGCCATAATTTGTATTTGCAAAATAAATATTACTTTCGTCTATGGTACCTAGACTTTATGAACTTCAGTGCAGTACTAGATTAGAGACAGGGTGTCATAATTTTATAGTTAAAATGGCGAGATTTGTAATTTGTATTCATTTCAATTTCAAACATTTTCTTGAATTACATTGGTTGTTAAATAAAAATAAGCTTCGAGAAATTTCCATAGCAAAACAGTCAAAATTTGTGTAAAAATAGGCTCAACTGACATAAAAAAAAAATCTTTCTCAAATTCATCCCTAATTTAAACGTTTCAAGAAATCCTATTGGCTAAAAAATAAAAAAAAATACAACATTCGCCCACGCATTTCTCAGAAAAATTCGAAACAAGCTATCAAGCCCCGTGGAGCTGATTTCGTTGTTAAAAAAAGCAAAGAAACTATAAATAGAAACATCAAACGAATTTTCGTCGCATTTGAGACTCACACACGCGAAAGATACACACGGGAATTATGCGTCAAAATTGCCGCCAAAGAAACTTTCTTTATGAGAGATTAGAAAAATTTACACAACAAACTTTTTCACTTAATATCTTTCACAGAAAAATCTTTTGTCTAAATTCAACCTTTTCAATCAAAGGCAGACAACTTTTTTGACATTGAACATTTCCGAAGGAACACATCATTACAAACAAACTGTAAATTGTGTATATGTTGAAACTTGAATAAAGCTAATAATAATAATAATACAACACAAAATGTACTGAAACAAAATGTATTGAACAAAAAAAAGTATACACAATATTTACAGAGAGTTTTGGTATATTCTTGGGAAGACCGTTCCTGTAGAATGGGTTAACTTAGTCGCAGGTGGGCAGAGTCTCTGGATTGGATCTCTTCTTCCTCCCCCGTGTTCCCGGTACCAACCATATTTATATGGTCGGTACTCCACTATGTAAATTAGGTGGATCGTACCACAACAGTATATAAAATTTAATCTGTTGTTTCAAACATGTATTTTCGTCGTGATTAAATATCGTTACCATTTGGCCATTTCTTATGATTTATGTTTGTAGATATTGCATATTTTATTTACAGCACAATCTTAAATATGCACGCATACTTCCTAGATCCACTACAGATTCAACCGTAAGTTCTATGCTGAGAATTTCTTCTCTTGGACTTCTTGCTTGTGGAACTCTTTTCCGGTTATATAATTTCCAGTCAATTTTGATCTTCAAAAATTTAAATGCAATGTCAATTGTTATCTTCTGTTTTTTTAACTCTTGTTTCTTTATTGCCCCCTCTTTTTTTTTTTTTTTTTTGATATTCTCTCACAGTCGGTAATTCCTTTTAGGGACTTTATTGCCTCGCTTGGGTTTAAATGATTAAAAAAATTATCAAAGTGATTTATATAAAGTTTCTTTTTTTTGTCAATGTGTCAGGTCCCATAAAAATAGTATATTAACGTCCAATTCGACGTGGAGGCGGGCGGAAGACAAAGTGTTTAAGAGGCAGACTATCCGAGCTAAAGAATTACTATAAAAAAGTCATTGTGATATGTCAGGGATATCGGACCACCCCAGTTCACTTTTCCTTTACGTTAATGGAAGAAGAAAGAAAAGCTATAAAAATAAGATATGACATGAAAAAAAAAAAAAAAATGGAAAGAATAACTTAAAAGTCAGGTAAAGACAGACATAAATCAAATCGGAATTAAAACAATCTGGAAAATCTAAACACAATGCACCAGCGGGAGCACGGAAGACTTCTTGTAACAGCCAGAACAGCTTTAATGCTGAGCGCATGCGCGGGCTATGTCACAACAAATATGGCTGCTACTAAAAAAAAGCGGCTGCAATATCGAAAAGCCTGAAAGCACCATTTTTTATCCCGTGACCCGTAAGGTCATAGGAGTACCAGCCGCAGTGTTGCATCTTCGGTAAGATAGCCTTACGGAGCCCAACACTCGCCAGGCCGGTTTTGAATTCAAAGATTTCCTTCTCCTAGACCGGTTGCCACCCAAGGTTACAGAACCCAGTCTGTTCTGCCATTTTTTCAGTAGCTGAGAGGGGTGTATTAACACGTAAGTGAATGCAATGTGTCCGACTGGAATTCGAACTCAGCTCTCTAATTCCTCAATCCGAGCCGCTATCCATAAATCCACCGTGCCTCCCATCCATACCCCATCCAAGGCTTGTGAATGAAATTGGGTAGACGGGACTTTTCGGAAGCTGGTGACGATTGTGCTAACATCTGCAGGTCATGTCTGTAAATAACCTTCGGCATAATCCGTAAAGCTGAAGAACTAAGAAAGAGCAGTGTCAGGTAACTCACTTCTCTTAATCCATCGGTAACCTATATATACAACCCGTTATATACAGTCTGCTACAGAAGTAGTGGTACTCGTATTGAAGATTGCATTGAATTTTTAATTTTGATTTTTAAACGTTCTAACTCAGACACTGAGCACTCTTAAATATATAAAATTTTAAATTATGAAGAAATATAGTCCTAAGGTGTGCTATATTTATGGGATAAAGTGCACAATATCAGTGATAGAGCGTGTGTAAATATAAAAGTGAACATGGAAGTCAACAGTTAGAGGCGACAGTCTGTTTCATGCTAGATGCAATCGCCAGGCCACGAAATAAAAATAAAAAAATAAAAAAATGAAAGAAATAAAAACAAGCAAATTTAACCCAAATAAATAAACAAATAAACGACTTCCGGTGAAATAGCCGCCAAAATACACGACCCACAATGCACCACTGACCCGTATATATAAATAGCCGAGAAAAATAAAAGCACTCGTGGCCTGACGATTGCGTCTAGCATGAAACAGACTGTCGCCTCTAAGTATTAACTTCTATGTCCACTTTTAAAATTTTAAATTATATATATATATATATATATATATATATATATATATATATATATATATATATATATATATATATCCATGATGAGATGCACGGAGATACACTGAAACGCGACCGCAACTGTGTAGCGATTTTTTACATGTTTTCGGTGCAATATCCTAATGTAATATATATATATATATATATATATATATATATATATATATATATATATATGCAATTTATTATTTATATTATTTATATATTGTATATGCGCGGTACTTATTGGAAAGCGGTCAATATAAGTGATAGACCTAACATATTTAGTTGTGTTGCAGTGAGTTTGTGACCCTGCGTTTCACGCTATTTGCGATCGTCAGTCAAACTGACAATCGCAGATAGCGTGAAACACAGGGTCACAAAATCACATCAATCAATCCAATATATATATATATATATATATATATATATATATATATATATGCACTGCAGTTAAAAAATTTCAAAAGCGACCCCAGAATTAGCATAGGATGAACTTGACAAATGAGAGGAAAAAAAAAAAAAAAAAAAAAAAAAAAAAAAAGAATAGAATTAATTATGAAACATACTTAGAGAAACTTTTGCAACGAACGCCCATAATGTGAGCTGCAGTAATCATGGCTAACGGAGGATATTTTAACAAGAGCAAAATTTAATCATAAAATGCTTGTTTTTTTTGTCAGTGATATTTCTAATAAAAAAAAATCATGTCTCATTTTTTTTAACCATATATGATAATATTCTCTTATTTAAAATACAAAAGAACTACTTTTAAATAATTTAAAAAATTACCAGTTTGCCTCAAACTTTTGAACTGTAATACATACATATATATATATATATATATATATATATATATATATATATATATATATATATATATATATATAAGCATTCAACCCCAAGCAAGGCGGGAAGCCACTAGCACGCAAGGGGTTACAGAGAGTTGGAGCGAGGAGTGATAGAGAGAAGTATGAAGAGACGGTGAGGAGATAGATGAAGGCATCTGGAGACGTCGATTGATATTACATTTGAATAGTTATAGAATGTAGCCATCAGGAAAACAAGAAATGGGGAGGGCATTCATTTAACAGTTTTTCGACAGTGAAATGGTGAGAGCGAGATGCCAGCCTAGTTGAGCGCTTAAATTCACGAAGTCTGGGAACCAGCGAAAGCAGCTCATCGGAGCAGTTACCGTGAAAGTATTTGTAGAAAAGACAGAGGGAGGCAACGGCACGTCTGTGAGAGAGCGGCTGCAGACGAGATGCCAGATCAGGGCCAATTACATTGCATGTCCTTCTTTGCATTTTATCAAGGACCTTGAGACAATTAGAAGGGGGGCTCCAGACCATATATGGTAGCAATACTCCATGCAAGGGCGAATGGTTGATTTGTAGATTTGAAGGATTGACACCGGCGGGAAAATTTCCCGGTGCGGCTCAAGGAGCCAATTTTTCTCGCGGTGGACGAAGCTATTGACTCGATGTATTCGTTTCATCTCAGGTCAGCGGACAATCTGAGACCGAGCAGTCGCAAAGAGGTGCTCTCGTGAAGTTGAGCGTCAGACATTCTAATGGGAGCCAGGGATGGTTCTCTCTGGTGAGTAATAGAGAGCAGTTTTGTTTTGAGACATTAAAGTTAACCACCCAATCCTGCCTCAGTCCATAACCGACTGGAGGTATATATATATATATATATATATATATATATATATATATATATATATATATATATATATATATTCTAGATTCTAGATTTTATTTTCAAATCACATATTGTCAAAACGGGAAACGCATGGATACACCAAAAAAATATAATTTTTTTGCTTTCAAACCATTCTGAAGGATTCCATGAGAATTTGCTTTGGATTCAATTCAGAAAAAGCAATATGAAATTCTTGCTTCCGAGCCATTCTGAAAATGAAATGAAGATTTAGCTTTAATACGGCACAAAAAGCTGGGAAAATATATTAACAGCTTTCGACATGAATTAAGAATTTTAAAGAAAAGCTACAGAATAAGATGCATAATAAATATTAACGGATTTTTTTAAAAGTCCCTCATTCTTTAATCACACGCCATCTTAGGAAAAATGTACTATGATGCATTATTTAGTCATATACACAGATACACACATATATTTCTTTCTTTCGTTATAAACAGAGCATTTACTTAAATATTTGTATCTTTAAAAGAATGTATAAACATAAAAAAAGTCTTATACATATATATATATATATATATATATATATATATATAGGTAAATATACTCGTTTCGAAAAACCTTCGAATTTTTGATTTGCCAATAATCAAATCAATCTTGAAGGAAAAAAAAAGTTTTAAAAAAGAAAGAGCCAGGAACATGAAAGTCTGTCGAAAAAAATCGCACAGATGCAGGTTTGAAGCCCAAAAGAAAAACCCCGACACGATTAAACAACTAACAAAAAAAGCTCAATACAACTGTAGAGCAGACCTAGATAAACCTAGTGAGCAAGACAAACCTCCCAGGTTTCACCTAAACGGATCGTCATGACGATCCACTTAGGTGAAACCTGGGTTTGTCTGGCTCACTATGTTTATCTCTATCTCTATCTATCTATCTATCTATATATATATATATATATATATATATATATATATATATATATATATATATATAAATATATACATATATACATATATATACATATATATATTACGTAATTTACATTATACATCTTCTCCCCAACAGCCATGGGTAAATAGCAGGACAGACCGGGTTCTATAGCTTTTGATGGCAACTGGTCTACCGCAGAAAGAAATGACAACCTACTGCGGGGTAAAAAATCTACCTCGTCAGTTATGTATCGCCTAAGTGTATCACACATGACCTATAACTATATATATATATATATATATATATATATATATATATATATATATATATATATAAAACAATAAAAAAAAAATATTAAAAATTAAAATCTTCAGACACACTGGGTTGTAGATTAATATTCTTTCGTTTTTTTTATTATTTCATTTAGATTCCTCACATATATATATATATATATATATATATATATATATATATATATATATATATATATATATGAGCGGAGCTTATTTTATATAATCAAGAACAATTTATACAAATAACTACTTAGCAATGTTAATGTGATTAATGTTGAAATCACTTCGCTAACAAGACTTATATTCGAGTTGTCAGATGGATGACACATGCTAAGCAGTTTCGACAATTTCAAATTCTTATCTTTAGGAGCATTTTTGAAAGATGAACTATAGGTACCCAGAAAGAATTTTTTCAATAAGTATGCTATATATATATATATATATATATAAAGAAAGAACAGTAAGACATTTGAGTGTCGGTATTACTTTTTGAGAGGTGTTTAGTTTAGAATACGCTTTATTTAACTACAATTAAAAAAAATTAAGAATTAAAAGTAAAAATATTTCAATTCGTAGTTAAATAAAAAGTATTCTTACCTAAACACCCGCTTATAAACTTCAATCTTCCATGAATCTCGTACATTCATAACGGCTCATGCAATGTAAACAAATGACGTCATACATTAAGAAATGGACAAAGTCCGACAATTTATTAAAGACATTTTTATGTTTAACATTCTTTTTATAGAATTTAAGTAAATGCTCTGTTTGTAATAAACAGTATTAAATACCATTTACCGGCCTGAATGTCCGAGAAATTTTACATTTGATACGCCATGAGCAGTTATGAATGTACGAGATTCATGGAAGATTGAAGTTTATAAGCAGTAAATTCGACCTTTCCAATTGAATGATCCTTTGTTAGGCACATCAAGCTAAATGACGGTTCCGTATAGGATGCAGGTTCGAATCCTGTCAAAGGACGAATATTTTCTATGAAAATTTCTCGGACATTCAAGCCGGTAAATGTTATTTAATACTGTTTATTATAAACAGAGCATTTACTTAAATACTTGTATCTATAAAAAGAATGTTAAACGAAAAAATGTCTTTAAGAAATTGTCGGACTTTGTCCATTTCTTTATATATATATGTATATATATAGTGGTGGGGAAGCAAACTATTCGTACAGATACAAATCTTTAATTTCTTGTATTTCCAACTAATAAATAAACATACTTAGCTGTACACAGATGCGTAATAACTAAATATTCATAGAAAACAGGAAAAAAATTGATTTAATAGAAATAAATCACATTTATTCATCTTAACGGATGAAAAAGTATTCGTGCAATGCAAAGATTTTGAAACTTTGTGACACAAGTTCTTTTTGAAGGTGAGTACCCGAGCGGGTACACCCGGGCAAGGAACGAAAATTGCCCGCAGTACTTGCAACCGTCGGTGCGAGAGCCGACCCCTCTCTCTAGTCCGCCTCGCGCACCTCTCAGTATAATTTTTCTCAGTTGCGACTTTGTCCTTTGGCGTAGCCGCCACTGGGCGCACTCTACCCAAAAACGAGGACGGAAACTGAGAGATGATAAAAAAACTTGATAGAGATGGTGCCAAATCTGAGATAGGCTTGGGCAATTATTTGAACACCTCGGCGTGTTTTGGCGGTTAGCAAGCTTGTCTCTTAGAACTATTACGACTGAGAAGTGAGTTCGAACTTTACTGGCTGCCCTAAACATTCAATCCTGTGCCTCATTCATCTAAGCTACGTTTGGGAAATCATCATAAACATGTTTAAATTTTTACCATTCTCAACTTCCCCTCTTTCTATGCTGTAATGCTCTGCATCACTTTGGAAGGGAATATAGGAAATTTATCTTACGAATTAAACATTCATTGTTTTTCGGCGCCGTTTTGCAGAATTCTCTGGCTCCTGCCAATCATTTTGGAGCGAAATTTGGCACCAGAGGCTCGTTATAAATCTTTTTGCGACACAAGTTTTTTCTTTGACAATTTATTTATTTTTCCTGTAATATTTAAAATATTCATAAAGAGTATCTTTTAATTGATTTTGACAGTTTCAGAAACCGATTTACTGGAGGGACGGCTAGAAAATCTAACTATATTTTCATTCTTTTCATATATATATATACATGTATATATATATATATATATATATATATAGATGCATATATATATATATATATATATATATATATATATATATATATATATATATATATATATATATATATATATATATATATATATATATATATATATATATATAGCTATATATATATGTAGCTTCTTTTCATTATCTGTGTAAACTCAGTCACTACATCTGTCTGCCTATCTCATTTTTTCCTTATCTATCTGTCTATCCAAGTTTGTCCTCTCTATCCAAGTTTCTCCTCTCTCTCTCTCTCTCTATATATATATATATATATATATATATATATATATATATATGTAAAACATTAGGCAGCATATAATTTATATAAAAAGAAATAATCACGCATAGAATCAATCAGCAATATTAATAATAGTAGTAGTTTTTTATAGGAATTTTTTTGTACTGCGAATCGATAGTTTTGTATAAACATAAAATATTAGGCAGCATTTTTAAAAAACTATCGATCCATAGTATAAAAAATCCCTTTGAAAAAGTTACTACTAAGACATAACACTATATTAATTGAACTATATACTTAGTTCATGACATATTAACTGAAAACATTTGTAAAAATAGAATACGTGAATTTACCACATCACAAGAAAAATTCAAATAAAATTCTCACTTAAAATTTTGAAAAACTTAGCGTTGCGTCTTTGCACGTTCCGATATTGTACACAACCGTCAATAATAACACATTCTCAAAAAAAAAAAAACATCTTTCAGTCTACAAACAATTATTTCGTCTCCAAGTTTTTGATTTTATAAGGAAAACATATGCCTGATGATGAATAAAGGATTATTCGAAAGTACTTGCATTTTAAAAAAATATAAAATGGAAACAACAGACAACAATTTTATAAATGAGGATCACATCACTCTATGGATTAACAGTATTTTAATGCATGCATTATACACTACTAGCGATGGATGTCGCCAATAATAGCATTAATATTGCTGATTGATTCTATTCGTGATTATTTCTTTGTATATATATATATATATATATATATATATATATATATATATTTCCTGTCGAATTCGACGTATGAGGGTCAAGCAGATCAGTTCCTAGGAAACCGACAGCCCGACAACAGCACATGAGATTTGATTATAGTGGTGAAGGCTTCGTGCAGGACCATCCACGCTTTTTGAAGGGCCGAATACAGAGACCTGTTGCACTAAGTGCCACAGGGTCCCCAAACGACCCTCATCCGCGGGTTTTGAATTCAGAGTTGTACTTATTCTAGACCAGTTGCCATCCAAGGCTATAGAACCCAATCTTTCTTGCTATGTACCCATATCTGGAGGGAGAAGAAGAGAATTCACACCTTTGCCAAGGATATTAGCACGTAAGTGAATGTAATGGATTTGACTGGAATTGGGACTCGGCTCTGCGAGGAGGCACGGTGGAGTAATGTATAGCGGCTTGAATTGAGGAATATATATATATATATATATATATATATATATATTTCTAAAGAGATGATGGTTTTTATTTATCTATCAGATTTATTTTAATGCCTAAACATTATATAGGTATCCATTAAAAATAAGTAATATCATATATATATATATATATATTTAATTAAACAGTAGTAATTATATTTACCGGCCTTAATGTACGTAAAATTTTGCAGAAAATATCCGTTCTTCGACAGGAATCGAACCTGTATTTCTATACGGAAAACGTTATTTGACCTGACGTACTCTACTGTTCAGCTACAGAGAAGCATCTGGTTAGCCTAGTCCGATTTACTGTTTATAAATACACGATCTTGAACAATTAACACGTATAAACTGAAAATATATTAAATAAGTGTGTCGGACTTAATCCATCTCATAATATATATATATATATATATATATATATATATATATATATATATATATATATAGAAAAATATATACGGAAAAAAAAACAGACAAAAATCCTTATGCAATTATGTTGTTTTAATGTTAATATGTCAACGCCGGACGTTTCGGTCTAATAAACCATCTTCAGGACATATTGATAAATATAATTAACATTATCAATTCAACATGACAAATATATATATATATATATATATATATATATATATATATATATATATACATCGCAAAAGTGTGAAACACAGTGTCAGAAACTCCTATCCATATAAATGAATATGTTAGATCTATCATTGATATTAAGTACTTTCCAATAAGTACCGCGCATATAATATCACACATTTGAGTGATAGGCTAATTCTATCAACAACAATTAGCTGCGTTAATTCAAAGCTCTCCAGTAAAACGAATTGGAGCACTCCGGCTGATTTGCGTTTGTTTATATTCATAAAAACAATACGCTAGATTTAGCTGTTTCTCTCGGTCGACTGAAGATAGCTCAATGGTAGTGTGACACTGGCGTCAAGAACTGGGAACGGAAACCACTCGACTATCTCCCCCGAGGAGTCATGGCAATTCGCACATATGTGGGGAGCTAAGTCCTGTAAGCAAGACCGAAATAAGTTGAAGCAATCAAAGAAAAAAAAAAAGGCAGAAAAATAGAACCGGGTAAAAGAAGGAAAAAGAAAGAAAGAAAGAAAGAAAGAAAGAAAGAAAGAAAGAGATAAAGAAAAGTAGAACATAGGGAAAAGAAAGAAAGAAAGAAAGAAAGAAAGAAAGAAAGTGATAGTCAGAGATGCATAAAAGGAAGAAAGAAATAAAGAAAGAAAGGTGGAACATGGAAAAAGAAACGAAGGAAGCGAGACAGAGAAAGAAAAGTAGACCATGGAAGAAAGAAAGAAAGAAAGAAAGAAAGAAAGAAAGAAAGAAAGTGAAAGTCATGGATGTATAAAAGAAAGAAAGAAAGAAAGAAAGAAAGGAAGAAAGTGATAGTCAGAGATGTATAAAAGAAAGAAAGAAAGAAAGAAAGAAAGTGAAAGTCATGGTTATATAAAACAAAGAAAGAAAGAAAGAAAGAAAGTGAAAGTGAAAGTCAGGGATGTATAAAAGGAAGAAGTGAAGAAAGAAAGAAAGAAAGAAAGAAAGAAAAGTAGAATATGGAAAAAAGAAAGAAAAAAATAGTACATGGAAAAAAGGATGAGAGAAAGAAAAGAGAAATAGATATAAATAGCGGTGGGGAAACAAATATTCGTACAAATACAAACGTTTAATTTATTATATTTCCAACTAATGAATATTCTAGAATATTCCACTTGAATAATCTAGAGTATTAAAGCAATTTAAAAGTTTCAAAATCTGAAATTTGCATTGTACTAATACTTTTTCATCCGTTAAGATGGATAAATGTGATTTATTTATATTAAATCATTTTTTCTGTTTTCTATGCATATGCATCTGTGTACAGTTAATTATATGAAACGTATGTTTATTCATTCGTTGGAAATACAATAAATTAAAATTTGTGTCTGTACGAATATTTGTTTCCCCCACCACTACACACACACACACACACACACACACACACACACACATATATATATATATATATATATATATATATATATATATATATATATATATATATATATATATATGGGTGGCAGTCTGTTTATTTCACTGTTTTTATGTCTACTTCTTTTAGCATCTTCTAATTTTCTTTCTTTTTTTCTTTCTTTTATTTCTTTCTTCTTTTGGGGAAGTTTTCCATTCGTCTATGCTTATATATGAGCCGATTTTCCTGCTATTTATCTAAAGATCCTTGATAAAATCTAAAGAAGGATGAGCAATATTATTGGCCCTGACCTAGCATCTCGACCTCAGTCACTTTCCCGCTGCCGTAAAGTTGCCTCCCTGTGCCTTTTCTATAAATACCTTCATGGTAATTGTTTGGATGAACTCTTCACCAGGGTATCAAGACTTTATGAATATAAGCGCAGTAATAGAAGTGGTCACATCGATTTAGAATTCAGTTGGCTCGACGTCACCATAAGTTCAATACCAACAGTTTCTTTTCTCCCAATTCCCACCTGTGGAAATTCTTTTTCAGCGAACTTTAACTGCAATGTCAATCGCTATCTAATGTGTGCTTTGGATTCCTCTTCTTCTGCTTTCGTTTCTTAGCAATCTTTCTGTTTTCCGTTTCTCCCCCCACCCCGTGACTCAGTGGCTTTAATGCCTTATTTGGAGTGAATTTGATTAAAAAACAAAGAAACAAAAAAAAAAAAAAATAAAATAAAAAAAATAAAAAAATCTCCATAATTTCACAACTTTTAAAAAATATTTCTTTCTTTATTTTTTCAATCTTTCTTTCTTCTTTTTATTCTTATTTTTCTTTCTTTCATTCTTTATTTTCCAGGTTCTAATTTTTTTTCTTTTTTTCTTTTTCTCCTCCTTTCTTTCCTTACTTCTTTCTTTCTTTTTCTCTTTCTTTCTTTCTTTCTTTTAATTCTTACTTTTCTTTCTTTCATTCTTTATTTTCCGGGTTGTACTTTTCTTTTTCTTTCTTTCTTTCTTTCTTTCTTTTTCTCCACCTTTCTTTCCTTAGTTCTTTCTTTCTTTCTTTCTTCTTTTTATTCTTACTTTTCTTTCTTTCATTCTTTATTTTCCGGGTTGTACTTTTCTTTTTCTTTCTTTCTTTCTTTCTTTCTTTCTTTCTTTCTTTCTTTCTTTCTTTTTCTCCACCTTTCTTTCCTTAGTTCTTTCTTTCTTTCTTTCTTCCATGTTCTACTTTTCTTTCTCTCTCACGCTTCCTTCCTTTCTTTCTTTGTCCATGTCCCATTTTTCTTTCTTTCTTTCTTTCTTTCTTTCTTTCTTTCTTTCTTTCTTTCAATTATATTTTAATTTCTTTCTTTAGCAGATTCCTCTTTTCTTTCTGTCATTCTTTTTTCTATGTTCTACTTTTTTTCTGTCTCGCTTTGTTCGTTTCTTTTTTTCCATGTTCTTTCTTTTTTCTTTCTTTCTTTTTTCTTTCCTTCTTTCTGTCTTTCTTTCTTTCTTTTTTCTTTCCTTCTTTCTGTCTTTCTTTCTTTCTTTTTTCTTTCCTTCTTTCTTTTTTCTTTCCTTCTTTCTGTCTTTCTTTTTTCTTTCCTTCTTTCTGTCTTTCTTTCTTTCTTACTTTCTTTCCTTCTTTCTGTCTTTCTTTCTTTCTTTTTTCTTTCCTTCTTTCTGTCTTTCTTTCTTTCTTTTTTCTTTCCTTCTTTGTCTTTCTTTCTTTTTTTTTCTTTCCTTCTTTCTGTCTTTCTTTCTTTCTTTTTTCTTTCCTTCTTTCTGTCTTTCTTTCTTTCTTTTTCTTTCCTTTTCTGTCTTTCTTTTTCTTTCTTTTTTCTTTCTTTCTTTCTTTTCTTTTTTCTTTCCTTCTTTCTGTCTTTCTTTCTTTCTTTTTTTCTTTCCTTCTTTCTTCTTTCTTTCTTTCTTTTTTTTTTTCCTTCTTTCTGTCTTTCTTTCTTTCTTTTTTTTTCCTTCTTTCTGTCTTTTTCTTTCTTTCTTTCTTTCCTTCTTTCTGTCTTTCTTTCTTTTTTCTTTCCTTCTTTCTGTCTTTCTTTCTTTCTTTTTTCTTTCCTTCTTTCTGTCTTTCTTTCTTTCTTTTTTCTTTCCTTCTTTCTGTCTTTCTTTCTTTCTTTTTTTCTGTCTTTCTTTCTTTCTTTTTTCTTTCCTTCTTTCTGTCTTTCTTTCTTTCTTTTTTCTTTCCTTCTTTCTGTCTTTCTTTCTTTCTTTCTTCTTTCCTTCTTTCTGTCTTTCTTTCTTTCTTTTTTCTTTCCTTCTTTCTGTCTTTCTTTCTTTCTTTTTTCTTTCCTTTCTGTCTTTCTTTTTTCTTTCCTTATTTCTCTCTTTCTTTCTTTCTTTTTTCTTTCCTTCTTTCAGTCTTTCTTTCTTTCTTTTTTCTTTCCTTCTTTCTGTCTTTCTTTCTTTCTTTTTTCTTTCCTTCTTTCTGTCTTTCTTTCTTTCTTTTTTCTTTCCTTCTTTCTGTCTTTCTTTCTTTCTTTTTCTCCGACCCTTTCGTTTATTTATCCGATTCTCTTTCTTTCTTTGTTTCTTTGTTATTTATACGATTCTCTTTCGTTCATTCATTCTTTCTTCAGTTTAGTTTCTTTCTTTCTTTACTTTAATTATCCGATTCACTTTCTTTCTTTCTTTCTTTTTTCTTTCCTTCTATCTGTCTTTCTTTCTTTTTAAAAGATTCCTCTTTTCTCTCTGTCATCCTTTTTTTCGATGTTCTACTTTTCTTTCTTTCTTTCTTTCTTTCTTTCTTTCTTTCTTTCTTTCTTTTCCCCAGGTCCTACTTTTCTGCCTTTCTTTCTTTCTTTGATTGCTTCAACTTATTTCTGTCTTGCTTACAGGACTTAGCTCCCCACATATGTGCGAATTGCCATGACTAGTCGAGTGTTTTCCTTTTCCATTTCTTGACGCCAGTGTCCTCATTCTATTAGTATGGTTACCAGAGCTAAAACAACCCAGTCTACCTTACTATTTATCTATAGCTTGGCTGAAAAGATACAGTTTCATGCCTTTCCAAGGATATCAGAGGGAATCAAATGCCGCATCCACTGCTAGGATTTGAATTCGGCTTACCTATCTCAATTTCTTTTAGTGCGACGAAAGATATTCCCCTAGCTGCGCACCCCTATTATAATCTAAATAAATAAACGACAAATTCTGTCTGTCCGTGTAGTGTGCCTGAAACCCTTCTAAAGCGGGCCATACTTGCTCTACATAAACATATTATACCTTTTCTTTTTCCAGCGTGATCACAGGATTGAAAATTTGCCCTTTATCTGGTGCTTGAACATCCAGCATTGGGATTTGTCTGCAGGTGAGGAGGGAACAGGTTAAAAATTCAAATATTCAAAACCATTTTTCAAATTGTGAGTGAGATTGGGTAGGCCTTGGGAACCGTCGATGGTTGTATAAGCACGAAGTCACAAGTCATCGTTACCGAGGGTTTGAGCGTGCTGGCATTGTTCGGACTGTTGATCATGGTAGATAACGCGCTCTCTCCCAGAAAGGTCCGCCCAGCGTAGTTACGGTATAAACCGCAGGCGGGCTCTGCGGGCGTTGAACAAACACGACTGTGCCTGAGCAGGCGCCTGCAACAGGGAACAGCTAGCCACCCTAGTAAACGGTCATCCCCGGATACGATTGGCCAGCCATCCGTCCACATCGAACGAGTCGATCGACATGATCAAGTGTCGTATACATCTGTTATACATCTGTCTTTAAATTGGCATCTGTTTTTCTTTCCTTTTTACTTAAAAGGTGATACAAAAAAGCCATTTTGGCGTGCATCTAAATGCAAGATGATCTTAAGTGAAAGGTCGAGTATGGTTATCAAAAACAGACTGATAAGGTCGATTATTCTACTGACCATATCATTTTATAATTCTGGTTGTCCCTCACGTATTTAATACGGCCATTACGCCCGGCCAATACCACATAAATAATGGTTTATTCCGTTTTAGTCGTGTGGAAAGCGGGAAAAGGCATATGAGGTAAGCAAATTGATTTCAGTGAGAAAATGAACGAAAGAAAGAAAGAATGAAAGAAACAAGAAAAGAAAGAGGTTTAGCTGGCACGACCGTTACGCCCCGTCAATACCTCATAAACAATGAACTATTCAATTTTGATCGAGTGGAAAGAGGGAAAAGACATATGAGAAAACACGGCCGTTACGCCCGACTAATACCTCATAAATAATGGTCTATTCAGTTTTAGTCGTGTGGAAAGACGGAAAAAGACATATGAGATACGCTAATTGGGCTCGGTGAAAAAATGAACGAAAGAAAGAAAGAAAGAAAGAAAGAAAGAAATAAAGAAAGAAAGATACTTAGCTAGCACGACCGTTACACCCTGCCAATACCTCATAAACAACGAACTATTCCATTTTGAACGCGTGGAAAGAGGGAAAGGTCATGTGAGATACGGTAGACGGTTTCAGTTAGAAAATGAACGAAAGAACAAAGGAAAGAATGTTTCTTAGATAGCATGACCGTTACGTCCTGCCAGTACCGCATAAACAATGAACTCTTTCTATCTTTCTTTCTTTCTTTCTTTCTTTCTTTCTTTCTATTATTTTAACAACTACTACTATTTCTTTATCAATCTCTCTTTTTCTTTCTTTCTTTTTTTCTTTCTTTCTTTCTTTCTTTCTTTCTAGTATTTTAACACCTACTGCTATTTCTTTATAAACCATTCTTTCTTTCTTTCTTTCTTTCTTTCTTTCTTTCTTTCTTTCTAGTATTTAACAACCACTTCTATTTCTTTATCAATCTTTCTTTCTTTCTTTCTTTCTTTCTTTCTTTCTTTCTTTCTTTCTAGTATTTTAACACCTACTGCTATTTCTTTATAAACCATTCTTTCTTTCTTTCTTTCTTTCTTTCTTTCTTTCTTTCTTTCTTTCTAGTATTTAACAACCACTTCTATTTCTTTATCAATCTTTCTTTCTTTCTTTCTTTCTTTCTTTCTTTCTTTCTTTCTAGTATTTTAACACCTACTTCTATTTCTTTATAAACCATTCTTTCTTTCTTTCTTTCTTTCTTTCTTTCTTTCTTTCTTTCTAGTATTTAACAACAACTTCTATTTCTTTATCAATCTTTTCTTTCTTTTCTTTCTTTCTTTCTTTCTTTCTTGCTAGTATTTTTAACACCTACTGCTATTTCTTTATAAACCATTCTTTCTTTTTCTTTCTTTCTTTCTAGTATTTAACAACCACTTCTATTTCTTTATCAATCTTTCTTTCTTTCTTTCTTTCTTTCTTTCTTTCTTTCTAGTATTTAACAACCACTTCTATTTCTTTATCAATCTTTCTTTCTTTCTTTCTTTCTTTCTTTCTTTCTTTCTTTCTAGTATTTAACAACCACTTCTATTTCTTTATCAATCTTTCTTTCTTTCTTTCT